CTGCTGAAGAGGTTCAGAGGGGGAAGGAGTTGCCCCCGGTGGAAAGGGACACGGGGATTTCCCGGCCCGCTGGCAGGGAGAGAGCACCACACTGGAACCTGAGCTCTTTGCAAGATGAGCTGCATGCAACCTCCATAGACCTGGACAGGGACTTGCTTCACAACTGGATTCAAATCCCGCGGTGAATACTGTTCCCACCCCCAGCTGCCGGTCCAGCTCTGCTCCCTGCACATTGATGCAGCCTCCTTCTCCTTGCCTTTTTTTTTAAAGATCAACAGGGATCAGGGTTGACCCTGGCATGAAAACTCTCTACAACAGGGTGAGAAGCAGGGGGACCGGGTCACAAAACAGCTCCGATGGGTATTGGCCACGTCTGTCTCTACGAGGCAGCGGCTCGTTGGGTGCAGGAGGTCCTTGCACAGGGGGGTGTGCAGCTCATTGGCAGCAGGGCAGCTGCTTTGTGGTCTGATCTGTACATTTGTGCACAAATGGAAACCTCCACGTTGCTCCCCAGTGGGTGCTGCCATGGTGTACCAGGCTGCTGCCACTGGTCTGCCTTGCTGAAGGAACAAGCGGAGTGCCCAAATCAAAGCAACCGTGTCCTCAAGCTGCTTGGGGCTCCTTGCAACACCCCCTGCCTGTGATCTGGCTGCAGCCACCTGTCTCATGCTCCAAAGACCCCCCCCACCCCAGGCTATGTAGAGACAAGGGCTGCCCTCCTCATGTCTTGCAAAAGGACATTGGAAAAGCGCCGGCCACCGCCTGCTTAAAAGCAGATCGTGTGGGTGGATGGATCATGGCACTGAGATGCTGGAAGTTGGAGCCTGCACCCTAGCATCTGCCTCTCCCTCCTGCCTGCATCGGCAGTGGTGCCAACGCAGTCTGCCCGCTGGAGACGAGGCAACCAGGGGAGCCTGACTGCAGAGCCCAGCTTGCCCTTGACCAGCTGCAGTGAACTTCCAAGGAAGAGGGGTCATGGGCATTCCCCCGCTTGCTTATTTAAGCCTGGAAGCTGGCATCTCTTTCTCTCTCTGGCTCTGCTATCACTTCTCTGCTCATCTGTTTCCTTCCCTTTTCTCTCTGCAGAGCCTCTCCCTTCCCAGCCACCCTAGCTGTAGCCCACGTCCTGCTTGACCGAATGATATAGGCCCTCAGCAGAGGTCACTTAGATGCTCGGTCTGGACCGATTCCACCACCGACCGCCCCCAGAGCCAGCTCCACGCTTCCTGGCCGGAGATGAGGTCATTTTTAATTGCAGTGCCATATGCAAACGCTGCTGTTGCTTCTCCATCACTGGTTCACCGGGATTCAACTAATCTACTTCTTGGGGAATCGTGGCAGGCCAGGACGTAGCTTTTGGCAACTGGTCTCCTGCCTCCGGAGCGGTGCATCTGTGGCACAGGTAGCGAATTATGCTGTCCTTGATAGAGAAACAGTGGGAGATGGATTATCCTGCCGAGTTTGCTGACAGGAACTAATCAAACACCCTTGACAGCTAAATGAAGTTGTGCTTCAGTGTTATTTTATTTTCCACGCTACTTTTTGACCGGGCGCAAGCCTGTCTTTTGTCAGTAAAATACAGCGGCTCCAGTGATGGAGGGATAGATGCGTGCTGGGGGACTTTGCATTCATTATGCAAAGGCGGCTCGAGCAAAGCAGCTTGCTGCTGCTGGAAATCAAAGCAGACCCGCTGCAAACTATCATGCCGCTGTGCCCTGTAGGGATGTCTTTGAGGCTCGGCATTGCAAAGCATGGGGCAGCTGCCGCGGTTGGGTCTTCAATTGCTCCGGCCTGGCAGGGGTGAGGAACAAGGCTCAGGATTTAGGGGTAGGGTGAATGCAGATCTAAAGGCAGGTCTGCTCTCAGACCCGCCCTCCAGGATGATCACCCTGTTTTGCAGAGGGAGAGAGCTGGGGTAAAGAGCGACGCGATTCACCCCAAGCTGCAGCCGCTTGGAGCAGGGGATCTCCGTAGTGCCTGTTCTGCTTAGGCATGTCTCCACATCAGTCCAGCTGCTGCAGGGATCATCTGCAAGCCTCCTGCCTCCCTCCTGTGGCTTGCTCAGCCTCCTCTTGCACGCTGATCAAAGCAAGGGTCAACTGGGGCTGGTCCAGCATGGCCTCAGCTGCTGCACGTGCCCTTCTTGGAGCAAAAGGAGTGCAACAGCTGAGCTCTGCCCTTGCAATGCATGGCCTCGTGGTACCCACAGGGAAGGGAGCTGGCATCTTGGGGTCAGCAGAGAGATGTCTATGAGGGACAGAGAAAGCCTGGCTAAAGGGAAGGAGGTGGGTCCTAGCTGCTGGAGCTAGAATTGCCTTCAGCCCTTGGGAGTCTCCTACATGCCGCAATTCCCAGCAAGTCCTGGGCAGCCCGGCAGTGCATCACTAACCAGCCTGGTGTTTCTCTCCCCCCTTCCCCCAGTTGTCACAGACGAGACCCTGAGCTTCATCCAGAAGAGCCGGCGCCTGCTCGTCGTCCTGAGCCCCAACTACGTCCTCCAAGGGACGCAGGCCCTGCTGGAGCTCAAGGCAGGGCTGGAGAACATGGCCTGGAAAGGCAGCATCCGGGTCATCCTCGTGCAGTACAAAGCCATCCGGCAGAGCAAGGTGAAGGAGCTGCAGCGGGCCAAGGCCGCCCTCACCGTCATCAAGTGGAAAGGCGAGAAGTCCAAGTACCCCAAGGGCAGGTTTTGGAAGCAGCTGCAGGTTGAATTGCCCCTCAAGAAACACCCCTGGGGCTCTGGCCTGGCTGAGCAGGAGCTCTCCTACTGCCCCATGGGACACGTGTGAGGGGCTGGGGCATGGAGAACTGCCTCTCTGCAGCTGTGCAAGGAAGGATCCGGTCTCGAGTGTTTCGGAGGACAGCATCCCTGCTGAAAATGCACTCCCCCCATTTCAGGGCAGCAGACCCCGCTGCCCCTGCACTCCCAAGGTCCGGGCATCTGCCACCCGGGGAGGGTGCAGCCATCCTTCAGGCCACTGTTCTCACCCCGATTCCTATCGGGTCACTCCTGCTTTCTGGGATCACCCTTCCCTTGGCTTCTCCGAGATCTCCAGCCCCTTCTCTCCCATGCTGACCATTGCAGAGCCCTCTCGAGGGGCCATCGGACTGGTCTCCTGCTCAGCAAGCAGCTACGGATGCTTTAGGAAAGGACTGGCATCAGTTTGCTTGTGCACTCCTCTGCTTTGCTGCAGGGTCATCGATTGCTGCTTCACTACAGCCTGTGTGCCCAGCACTGAGCTGGCTGCTCGGGCACCTTCCCATCCAGATAGTGCGCACTTGGTTTTATAACAAGGCAGAGCAGGTGTCCCAGCACTGTCCTGTTCCTTGTTTTCAGGGCTTGGCTAGGTGGCATTTGTCTTCAGGAATATCTAGGAAGACTCCTGGCAGTCTTCTGTGCTCTCCAAATCCTGTGGTGCTGTCACTGATTGATCCAAGGAGAGTTTCTCCTGCATTTATAGTGCCTCAGATCACACCCTTGCATGTCTGACTTATTCAGAGAGTAAACTCAGGGACTTTGCAAGGGTTGCAAACTGCCTGCATTTACTACAGGGCAATGAGCAATGTCTCCCTTTAACCTAAGCTGCTGGCCATTGGAGAGTACTGCAGAAAGAGCAGGGGTTGTCTTTTTTTTTTTGCTGGGATGTCATCTTTTTTTTTTTTTTTTTTTTTTTTGCTGTGCAACCCAACAGGATGGAGGTATGAGCTTCTGTTCGTTGCCAACTGCTTCACAGCTGTCTTCTCTCCCTAGCTCAGTGATTTTTCAACTGGGGCCACAGCACTCAGTAGTTCCTCGAGTCCTTTCAGGGGTGCCTCAACATTAGCACCGTTAGGTTGACCAACACTATTCACCCCAAGATTTCAAATAGAAGTCCATAGCGGTGGTCTTTGAGTTCTTTGCAACAGAAAAACTGCTCTTCTTATTTTTCTGCAGACTAAAACCAAGTGGAAACTAAGAGCCGACATTTTTCCAAGGGGTGTCTTGAGTCTAAGAAAAAAAATAAGGTTGAAAGGTCCTGCCCTAGACAAGCAAGAATAGAGTCATCAGTCTGAACCAGAGGCCTTGTAACATAAGGTTCACATTAAACTGGTTTGGGTTTGCAAAAGAAAGCCCTACCCAGAGGGTTTGCAAAGCAGGCACTGCCACCCCTATTTTTGCAGCCTCTGAACTGGAGGGAGACCAAAGCCGTGAAGCATTTCCCTTCCCGATGCTGTTGGTTTGGGCAGTGTGCCCTCCTGTTTGAAACCATCCTTGTTTTCAAAACACATTTTGCAAAGCCCATGCCAGCCCTTTCTAGGTTTTGCGCTTCTGCAGTCCTGGCAAAGGGGGGAGATGTGCATGCTCTTGGCAGCTCTAGCTCTCCAGGTGCAGAGCCCTGACGGCAGGCCTGCCTACTCCAACGACCATGCGATGCTGTAGCACAGGGGATGCGGGCATTAACTGGTCCCACTGGTCCTGAGCTCTCTCCTTCCCTGCTGTCACTGGCGCTCAGCTGCGGGGCGTAAGTACGGCCTGTCTTCCAGCCATCCCTCCTGTCTCCCCTGCAGCCAGGTTTGAAGCGGAGGACCTCGCAAGCACTCAGCCCTGAGCCCAGCTCTGGTCCTGGTGGAGCCCCACATCTTGCTGCTGGGAGCAGAGGTCGGCTGGCACCGAGCACCCAGAGGCAGCATGCACGGGCTGGCACGAGGATGCTAAACCATTGCATCGGGACACGAACGTGCTGGGTCAAGAGCCTGTCTGCTAGCACAGCGCACGATGCTATCCCAGTGCTCAGCTGGACGGTGGGCAGCTATCGGCGTAAATGAGAATATAAAGCTGTTGGGGCTAGCCAGCTCTGTGCTGCTTTTCCAGGGAGGGTTGTTTTTCCCACTCGTCCTGTGAATCATCTACTACTGTCTCCAAGCTCTGCACTGTCTGGGAGCTCCCCCCCGAGTGCAGCGATCTTGACACCGTTTCAGGTCCATCCTGGCATCCGTCATACCCCTGGACGTGCCTGTGTGCTGTTTGTAGGAGAAGCCTAGCTGCTATTTTCCCCATGACTCCCTGTCGTTCCTGTGGTGTCTGCAGGCGAGACCTGGACTCGCATTATGGTGCTGTTTTAAAAAGCCACGAAGAGCCAGCTGGAGCTTGGAGACTCTCCACTTGGCCATACACATTCATGCTGTTCGGGGGTCCTGGCTGTGCCTGGCCGGACCCCGCTGCAGCCATTTACACTACTACTACTACTACCGAATTCAATGCATTTATTAGCATAGCTCCTGGGAGCCTCAGCTGCAAAGCCCTTGGTGCCAGGCACAGTCTGAACCCCAAACGGGGAGATAATCCCTGCCTCAAATGATGCATCCTTAGTGCCAAGGAAATGAATCGGTCTGGGATGCCACATCCCAGCTGACCTCAGTGAAGTAACATGGGCCCAGGGGCTTTGCTATCCATGGAGGGAGCAAGGTTGTTTCCTCCTCCACCCATTCGATTTGCACCCGTGGTTTTTGCTACATAGGGTGAGGCCATGATAGCTGCAGCACTTCATCCAGTTGCATGTTCCTCCTTGCCTCATTTTCTCCTCCCAAAAGCAGGCCAAGTGGCCATCAGGCAGCCATAACGACTGCAGGCAGGAAGATAGGCTCCAAATGAAAATGAGAACTCCTTTTTGTTCCCATTAGATGCAACGAGTGCGCGCGTGCACGGCTCTGCCAGCTCCCAAGCGGTAGCGTGGTGCATAAACCGCCTTTGGGGTGCAGGGAGAGAGCATCTGCCGAGGTTTTGGGAGGTGACTGTATTAGGAAATGAGTCCCCATTTGTTTGATTTGCATTTGCTTGCTTTTAAGCAGTCCGATTTAAAAATATTAATAATATATTCATATTTATTTTGCTTGTGTAAAACAGTCACTCTAGTGACAGCAGGGATTTCTAGGCCGTGGCCCTGAGAGAAGACAGTCTGTGTTAACTCATCACCGAAAGCAGCAGCCAACTGATCCCTTTAGTTCACCGTATTCATGTGGGTCTTTGTGCGATAACCTAGCATTATTTCATGTAAAGTTTTCCATTTTATTTCACGGGGGTGGGGAGGGGGGGTGGGGGGGAAGGGGATAGCTCACTTTGGGATGGACACCCCCCTCCGCCCATATCATTTCTTTCATGGCTGTTCCCACCTTGCCCTGTGTGATCTCACATCTCATTTTTGTTCTGCGAAGCGTCAGTGTTTGATTTGGCTATTCAATAAACCATTTTTACTTTTGCATTTCTGTTTGTTCGCGATTTTGCACCTCTTTGTGCTGGCCCTGTGCCTCCCTCGAAGGATCCTGTCCCAATATCAGCGCACCTGGGCAGAATAACCAGAGTGGGTAGAAATCATCCCAGGCCCAACCCCAGGCACTGCACGTCGATCTCATGTAAGTTGTTAGGATACGTAGTCCAGGCACCTCCTCGGGAGTAGAAATGCAGGGGAAGACGGTCCCGGCCCCAGAGAGACTTCAGCCTAAAAAGGCAGGACCAAAGCAAGAGGAAGCATTATTATTCCATTATAAGTGATGGATGTAGGCCCCAGGAGACTAAGTGAATTGCTCAGAGTCATGCAGGGGCAGGTCTTTGTCCAAACTGGAAAGGATGCAATCAGTGTGGACTACAATCAAGCTAATTACGCGATGCCTCCCCTAATCCCATCATAACAAGCTAATACAAGGGGGCGGCTTTTCAATGTCATTCTTCGGTTATAACTGGGGTGCTGTGCAGCAGACACGGGTATCTGAGTAGGTACCAAAATCTGCAAGGGACCAAGAGCAGGTCCTTCATTACAGGCATATTACTAGTGTACTTTCCTTCCTGCGGTCCCCTTGGTGCAGAAAAGGTCAATCCTTTACTGGACAGAAGTCAGAAAAGCAATGCCAGCGAAGCAAGAATGGAGCAGAGGAGGAGTGAGAATTGAACATCCCCCCAGCCTCTTCAGTAGGGACAAAAAATGGAAACCTCAACATTTTTGCTAACCAGGATAAAGGTTTGCAAAAACCAAATAATGAGATCAGGGCCATCGAGGCATTTTCCATTCCATTGAAATCAAAGTGAAAACATTTCCATCTTTTTTTTTTTTTTTTAATTAGTTTTATTGCAAATTAATTTACATTTCAAAAAGGAAAAACCATTTTGCTTTGAAAAAAAAGAACAGCTTAAAAAAAAAATGCTGAAACCTGCCTAGTTCCCGGTCAGAGCTTCAATCGGTTTCTGAAAGGGGTGATGTGATGTTGTCCTTGATAGGAGGCGATGGGGCGTGCTGATACAGTCCAGCCTCCTGTGAAATGGGATAGTTAGACAATTGCAAAAGGGGTTTTTGTTGCCCCCAAAACCTTTTCAAATGGGAAATTTGTTTAGACTGATCCTTTCCTAGGAACAATTGGTTTCAATGGACCAGTTTTCCTACAAAAAAAATCCCCAAAACAACCATTTAGTAAAAAAAAAACCAGCTCTTTAAATTATAATATAAATATGGATGTGCAAATCTGCTCTCTTTCTCTCTCAGAAATGCCTGTTCATGTTAAATCTATTCTTCAAATCCTGAGTTCTTGGCTTAATCTTTGAAATGCAAAAATCGAGAACTCTCCATTCAGAGATGATACCTTTTATTAGACCAGCTGAGCAATTGCAAAAAATAAAAAATAATAATAATAATTATAAGAGGTATCTCTGAGCCAAGAATTCCAGATTTTTGCATTTCTTTTTGTTTCAGACCAACACAGCTACTAAGATACACGTGTCTGCACATCTTCATGGAGGCAATTGGGATAAGACTTTAAATTCTGCAATGATTTCAGGGAAACTTTGTTCCTAACTTGAATGAGGTTTTGCTCTGAATTCCTGATGCCGTACATCCCTGGCTTAATATTCTTGATGCCATACATCCCTGGCTTAATATTTTGCATTCATGAGATGTTGATGATAAATATGCATTGGTAATTCCAGAGTTTAACCATGCATTGCTGGAGGAAATATTTCTTTTGACTGATTTTTACACCTGCTGCCATTCAGTGTCAGTGAATGCTCCTTAGTTTCTGTGATGAGACATCATCAGTAGAAATCCCCCGTACCAATAAAAGGGCAGGAGAGACACAAGGTGCTACCTACATCTTGCGTATTATTGTTGTCACCATCACCACCATCTAAACCCCAAGTTCTCTGCTGCTGGAGAAAAGAAGAGGGCCTCCATAGCTGGACATGAATATCTTCTCAAAGGCAAGCACTTAAGCTGCGATACAAGTTCAGACCGGCATCAGCGCTGCCTGATGCTCTTCGGTGTGCGTCCTTTCCCAGCATCTGATGAAATGAAGCTCATGGAAGATTATGCATTTCTGATTTCGTTCTTCTATATGGTGCATGTCTACCCTGCCTTGTCTTAGGAAAGTAACCACAGCAGAGCGTGTTTCAGGGCTCAGACTTTCCCGAAATACAGCACTGTCGTGGCAGGCAGACCCCTGGATTTCCATCCTGCCTACCTCCATGCACCGCAACGCCTCTCGTGCTACCGTGCAGGGCCCACAGCTATACCAGCATGCCAGATGCAAATCCCAAATAGAGAAGGGCAGATGTGCACGTTGCAAAAGCTGCGTTACAGAGCAGCAAGTTGCAGCCGTATAGTCTTCCCCCTCCATGCGGCTGCCCCAAGGCCTTAGTGGCCTGAAGGGGAGGGGAGGAAGAAACCGCCGGGGTTGCCCCGGTGTGCAAAGTCCTTTATGGGATCTCCCTGCTAAAAGGGGTTTTCTTCTCCCTGAGCCGATTAAAACTTGACCTCCAGCAAGCCCTTGGTCGGACGTTGCTGGTGGCATGCTGTCCTCAGCTCCCTCGTGCCAGGGGCATCACTTGCGAAGTGGACAGCCCTTCTGTGTTCATTAGGCTTTCCTGGTAATTGTGTTAATGAGGGTGAATTAATTTCTTAAGTGGTGTAGCCCTGTTAATTCCCATCCCGTACATCGCACAGCCATTAATTACAAATCTTTGGCAACCCCCTAATATGCCTGACGTCTCTTGTCTTTGCTAAGTTAGACAGAGGGCCTTCAGTATTGCACAGGGGAATTAAAAAAAAAACCCTCATTCATCATCTTTCCATGCAAAGACCCCATGCAATATGAATGAACCCTAAGAAGCCCACCTGTCACTAAGCCCATTTTACAGAAGGATGGACTGAGACACTAAGGAGATAAGGGGCAACCTTTTCACTTCATTTTGGGTGCTAACTTCCTGGCTGTTCAACACGGGAGAAAGTGCCGGGGATTTTCCGAGGGGCTAGCCTCGGGGAGTTGCAAACCTCTGGAAAACAGGCCGTGGGGGTTGAATCCCTGATTGCTTTGCGCTGCTCTCTTGATACACAGGCGATGTCAGTGCTAACTGAACGAGCTGGCCACGCTTCCCTTATTGCGATGGATGTTTTCTGGGCTTCTCTAATGCGTTTCTCTCTTCTCCAGGGGCAAAAGGCAGTGCCCGCCTGGGTGTGGGGATACAGCTTCACGTGGCTCTCTTCTCTCCCTGCCCTTGCCCCTCCAGATACCATCGACGCCGTCTTCAACTTCATCCAGCGAAGCCGGAGGATGATCGTGGTGCTGAGCCCCGACTACTTGACGGAGAAGAGCATCAGCCTGCTGGAGTTCAAGCTGGGCCTCCTGTGCCAGAACGCCATCTCCACCAAGCTCATCGTGGTGGAGTACCGCCCGCTGCAGTGCACCCACCCCAGCATCCTGCAGCTGAAGGAGTCGGTCTCCTTCATCCCCTGGAAGGGGGACAAATCCAAGCGGTCCGGCTCCAAGTTCTGGAAAGCCTTGCGCCTCGCCCTGCCCCTCCACAGCCTGAGCGACGGCACGGGCTGGAACGAGAGCTGCTCCTCGCAGTCGGACATCAGCCTGGATCACCTGCAGCGGCGCAGGAACCGCTCGAAAGGGCCCCGGGAAGCTGCCGTCGCACCGCGGGGTGCAGCCGGGGCTCCCCGCTCGAAGGCCATGCAGCAGACCAAGCCCTTCCTGGCCTGCCGGTGCTGCGTGACCTACTGCGACGAGGACGGTAAACTCAGCAAGAGCCTCCCGGCGGTTGACTCCCAATGGGAGACTCGCCTCTGCAGACCGGGCAGGCCCGAGGCACGGAGGGTTCAGAATGGGAGCAGACCGGAGCCCCCCTCGGCCCCGATCCCGGCACTGGCGCTCCACCAGTATACCGACTTGTCCAACAGCAGCGACTTCTACGTCCTCTAGCCCCTTTCCAGACTGGCTCGGCCTCCTCCAACATCTCTTTGTTTGCTCTAGAAAGGCTGGAACGATTCAGCTCGGCGCCCTGCAAGCAAACCCACTGGGGACCCGCACAGCTCGGGTGGGCAATGGGGGCCGGCAGCTTTCCCTCTCCCCATTGACAGCTGCTAAATGGAAATAAAAGAAGCTAAATGGACTTCCTCTGCTGCTGCTTGCCCATCTCAGCAGGGGCCGTGATGACCATGGGGCTGCTTCTGGGATTGCTAATGGGAAAGCAGATAAATGATCTCTGCACCAAGTCATGGCAGCATTGGAGGGGCCCTGCCTTGCAGCCTTCCCTATTGATTTGGGGACCAGACCTCTCCCCTAGTTTTGCAGGATGGAGCTGTACAGCGCTGGGTCCAATCCAGTTATAAAGGGACATAGTCATACCCTGAAAATCTCCAAAAAGCCTTTAATTTGCTGCCGTTCCAAGCTGCAGTGAAGGGAACCGGGATGAAAGACGGAGGGGGCACGCTGTGCTCCCGACAGCGTTTGGCCTGGGCCGATAGTGTTTGAGATGGGGTTTGGAGGTGTCGAGGGGATCAAGGTGCCGTCCTGTCACTGGAGTCCCAGAAGGGCTGTGGGGACAGGTCGATGCCATGGTTTCTCCTGCAGAATTAGCTTTCTTTTGGGTCGGTGCGGCCTTTCACTCTGCAGCCGGGGAATGCATTACACGTGGAGGGCAATGTGATTAAAAACCCACAGAAAAAGCCAGGGGGGCGGGGAGGCACCAATTAGAAAAGACCGTGTTTGAAACCCAATGGATTTCACTCTGGCCGTGTTTCATGC